GCTACACATATGACATAACACTCACATTATATGATGCAAGATCATATATTTCTCTTATTTGATCTGAATGAGATAGTTTAATCTAAATTGATAAATCTCTTATTAAATGAAGAGAGATGTATTACCTATCATGATATTTTAAAGGTCTAGCCTTGGTTATCTATTTATTTTCATCTTTTTATGGCTCATTGATGTCTTTTTTCAATATATGTTAGTTATCCCATTATGATAATGTAAATCTAAAACGCAAGACATTTAAAAAGTCTATGTATCAATTTGAAATGTACTTTACCTCATGAATATATAATTTGTCGTATAGATTTTTTGGACACTTTGAAACCCTAGTTTGTATCTGTATTTACTTCTAAATATAATACTAGTATAGTCTTCATATATGCTTGAGCTTGTGATAAAAAAAAACTGTTGTTGGATATCACATAGCAAAAGCTGCAAGAATAATTAACTTATATTTGAATCTACGTACATATATTTTACAACTATTCAATCAATTTACGTAAATAAATGTCTAGAACCAATGATTATGTGAGTTCAAAATTTTAATAGCGTCAAATTTCTTTTTTCCTACAGAATGTTAAGATGAATCGGACTTGATTTGATATAATATATATGAAAATTATGTTTAAGCTCATAATTTAAACTTGAGCGGATTACCCATGTCCATGTATTGGCAGAATTACTGCTAAGGGCAATATTTGTCAAGATCCAACCAAGAATTAAAGTAACCGGTTAATACACATAACAAAATTTGCGTAATTTTCATAGTTTGGGTGAGCACAAGTCAATGCTATGGGTGGGTTCAGTTCGTTGTGGATGGTTACGGTCTGGATGCAGATTTGAAATAAAATGGTTGTGAAGTGAAGATTCATAACGTCAAATGTTAATTTGATTTTAATGAGAAACCTGTTCAATCATATTGATTACTTATTTGCTTCTCCTGTCACTACATGCTCAGTCACTGCATGTTTAAATGAAATTTGATAATTTGTCTCTGCATTATAGACCTCCAACTTGTGTATTAATCTCCAATGTATAGCCACAAATCCGGTCATAAATTTTCTTCCATTCAAATTTTTATAGTTTGCATATTAAACGCCAATCAATGATTTGACATTATAAGATTGCTTATCAAACACAAAATTAAATTTCAATGTATATCTGAAAAAATTTAAAATCCTCTTCACAACCTTCGAATGTAATAAACCTGGATTTGACATATTTCTATTAGTTTTTTACATAGTGAGAGCAATATTAGATCTAGTGCAAATCATGAGAAACATTTAAAACCCGGTGTTCTAGACATTTGTTGCTTTAAAGTAGCACCTCTTAATCCTTAATTATGAAAAACATGAGATTACTTACTCTAAAATATTAGAGAATAGATTTTTCCTCGTTATTAGACGCCGTACAAGCAACCTCAGGTTGCTGAAAACTATAAACAAGAACTGAGAAAGTTGTTGTTCAAGAAGACTATAATGTGTGTGGCTTAGGGAGCATCTAATCATGAGTGGATAAGAATTGCATAATGTACTCATTCACGATGTCAGTGTGATTAACAATATATCTCGTTTGACCGACTTGTGGCAAACCATTAGAGGTTTTGGATTGATTCCTAGTTTAATCTTATGCATGTAACACACATCATATATAATCCTTAGTTTTCAATCTGGTTAAAAATGATGTCAGAAATTAATGTGACACCTTCTATAATCATTGGTATTCAAAACAACTACAATTACCAGACCTAATTGGGACTATCAGTTTTAAGTGCAACACTAATCCCGTATTTATCATTGTGTCCTCAAATTAAGAATTTCACAGAAAAAAAGGCTCTCATGTTATTGTGAGTGATAACTTGAGTTTTGAAATTTCATCAAAACAGAATACAAACTAACAAATACCTCTTCTAAGATTTCAGGTGATTTGGTCATATAGTAGACAACATGATTTACAGTTTACTGCTTTGATTATCTCTAATGATAGTCTTTAACTAGAAAAAGATAAGAGCTATCATTAAGCAGTGATACATCTCTCATTATTTATAGTTCAAGTAATTTTGGTTAGTTTTTTTGGACAATTAGAAATGATATGTTTATCATACGATTTGCTGTAGGTGGTTATCAATGATTATCTTTGAATGTGGTTAATGTATCTTAAATTGAGCAATTTATCCAAATTTGAAATCTTAATGTTGTGTCATACTTGCAATCCATTGCATTGATTGGTAGTTATTGATCAACCGGTCAGCTCGGACGTTAGAAATAACTTCCAATTTGGAAGAAGTAAATGACAAAGATGTAGCATTTCAACACGGGCAATATAAAGAATGACGTTAAATATTGAGATCTGTTCTTTCCGTTATCGTTTCCGTTATTTGCTCACATAAACCTAATCCTTTGACAGATAAATTTCTGTCCATTTCGCAGCGCAGCTTTTGAGCTCAAGAAAATTACAAGAACTTGATCTGTTGAGAGTCATATTGTGCTGTGGAAAATGAGGTGCAGACTCATATGATACCGACTCATTGGAAAATTTTGTTCGATTTCTGCATTGGAGTGGTACTTGAATCCGAAAATTTCATGACCAAGTCCATTAAAAGGTGACCCTAAGCTCAGACAGGTTCTTCACCGTCTGACTGCGTCCTTCCAGTCCTCATTCTCCTGTTGCTGTTTGCTGAGAATGTCAGTTCTTGCATTGCACGGTAGATACGATTGTGTCAAACAAATCTTGTTTGTTAGCACTGGAGCAAAAAGAGACGCAAGGAACAACTACTGATGCTTTCGCGTGTCTCTACTCGTGGCATTGGCTGTTCTGAGCTCAAGTTGCAGTGAGCAATGTGGCATTATCCCATGACGCAAATAAATAAACACAGCCAAATTTCCTTCAGAGCTGAGTCAACCCCCCACATAATCCATGAATCGCATCGACGGAGTTGAGGATAACATCTGATCACTTTCGGCATACTCTTCCGTCCCTACACAAGAATCCTTTCCCTTAGGGAGTGTGACACATTGATTAATTACGGGTGAACCTAGTGCCGCTATGTTCCAAACTGAAGGTCGAAAGTTCAGGGCTTAACAATATGGCACCGTCGATGAAATATACGATTCTCTGTGGACTGTCTCAAACAGTAAGGTGTGCACCGACATGCCGACAGAAGAAACATGGAACATAGGCATTAGTACTTGGATGCCTTCATTACTGCGCTGGTTCTTGATCGAGGATAAGATGGGACTTATAAAAGCCCATTTAAATTAGTAGGTTGTTGAATCCGGTATAGGAAGATTTCCATAGTGCAGATTTGTAGGTGGACATACGGTGCACCGCTCACACACGGAAGTTGACTTCTGACCACTTGCAGAAAGCACGAGCTCGAATCATAACGGCTGCAACTTGCATATCGTTCGTCCATGCGCAAGATACATGAGCCAAATTATTCCTCTACACTCTGCAAGGTGAGGTGCAGCTGGCACGATTGTTCCAGTCAGGCCGTTGGTTAAAGGAATGGACTTGATTGAGCAATGAGACGACGAAGTGTAATCGGAATGTAGATCGCACCTTAACAGTAGAGAACTACCCGAGAAACAGCTAAAGTTTAGCAGATGGGGCCCAATCTGCAATAGTAGACTGCTTATATTGATCTCGAGACTTGAAGTTCATGATTAAGCGGAATATTTACGACTGCAAAGACTCAATCTTCAGCATGAAGCGAAGCCACACGAGGACTGTGCTGTGTCATGGCAAAATACAAGAGCATGTGATCGGGATATTTTCTCATAAACAATTAATTATAACATGTGAAGCTTCCATACCTCAAAGAATGTAGTCTCTGTCACGTGGAACTAACATTTAAACGGGTGGCAAAGTGGTATCGACGATTATCACCTTTAAGCGAGCTCTTAACATTGCACTGTTAGATCGTGCACCATAACGTATCATTCCCCAGCAATGACAGTAGAGATCGTCACGTGAAATCACTCGAAGAAAAAAACGATCGGATACAGCTCACGAAAGAACAGGCTAGAGTAACTCCAGAACCACAACAACAATCCATCATTACTTGGATTTTTAACTAATGATTCAAATAGTCAGGCAGACAGTCACACTGACTGTAAACGACCGAGACTGCTCTGCAAATCCAAGTTCACAAGTTCCGACGAAGATTAGGGTGTTCAACGTTGGTTGTGAAGGGCACCTACAAATTGTTTGAGGATTATCACTCGTCGATATTCCCATTGATGAAAAAAATCGTTTATTGGATATGACCCCTAACCAGAGGTGAACTGTGGAATACTGCCAAACGGTGACGACATGGTGGTCCAACTTAGAATTCTCTTTTTCAATACCTAGCGTGCCTGAACTTCACCCGTAGACCCTGGTAGACATTGAATGTCAAACACTAGAGAGACAGGCAGGCAATGAGGCAGAGTCGACAACGGCACGAGCTTAACAATTCTGAAAGAGTCAGTCTGATCCGGCACCTCACGATAGCACGACTACTCCAAGGCTACCTGATTTAATTTGAAGGTCGAAACTGAACCAAACCTAGACATTTAGAGAGACCGTCTGGTCCAGTCAAGCTTGAAAAGCGTTTACTCTAGAAGAGTGTACAGCAAGTTGAAGCGGTGCAGATAGTGGACCGATAGACGCTGCGAGCTCTCATGAATGGGTGCCATTGCGTACGGAAATACTAGATCTAAGCGTCGATACAACATTTCCTAATTCTGTTAAGAGTTTCTATCTTCTTTCCAATGCAAGATCCGCATCTTCAAACCGTTCGATGAGCCGGTGAGAAAGTCTTTCAGGCCACTTGACCTGGGATCCTGATAGCTCAGGAACGACCTGAAAGAAAGTGCTCCATAAATATCCGCTCCTCGGAAGTTGTGCACGTATGTACTGGTATCATGGCTACACTACTACCTTGAAGATTCTTTTGCTCCCCAACTCATCGGATTTAGAGCTGGTGTTTGAAGACGTCATGGGGCGTTTTTCCACAGCCGCGTGGCCTTTCGGCTTGAAAACAGCAATGCAGGAGGTAGGATTTCACATGGCCCGAACAAGCTATTCTGAAAAGTAGACTCTTGTGCCCTTAATATTGACTTTAACTACCGGAATAAGCGTCGCTACGTTCCTCGGACAAGTTAGGATCCGTACAAGGCAATCATCTCCTCTAACTCTACTAAGATTTGGGCATTGTGGGGGAGCTAATCCCATCTGTATAATGAAGCAATGATCTACGGACCTTTACAGCAACGGTTCCCTGTTCCACCCAGATTCTCAGGCTACGATTGTGCTGCCATAGAAAGGGTTCTCTCTCTAATGAACACAACGCAGTTTGCAGTCTCTTCATGCGGATAACTCAAAGCAGTGTCCGGCGCTAGGCCACCTCCAGTTTTCATGACATAGAGTGAGCTCGCGGGACGGACCAGAACGTGCCCGCCTGAAATATGACAAACAAACATATACTGTCATCCAGCTTTCATTCATGATCGTGGTGCACAATGCACATCTGACGGGCTGGATTGAACAGAATTTTCCCATGGCTGGATTGAGAGTGAAAAAAGCAGGGACCTCACAAATATGGTGCACATGAACCTGCGCACCTAATCACGTGCAGTGCTTGTCCCCAATCAGTGTTCCTAAGTTCCACTGTTCATTCCTTTTAAAAACTCTACCTTGAGACTTGTGAACCATGAGCTGCCCTTAGGTCCTAATGTCCAAAGAAAATCGTGGACCCTCTGGACCTCTAAACATGCCTTCGGACTAAACAGCCCGTCCTCCACAAACCAGACGTTCGATCACGATTCACACATTTTTTACCAGCTCTCCCCAGTAAGTTTTTCGTGCATCCTCTCTTGCCTCAGGGAAACTTGTGGCGGAAACGACTCCCATCGTCAGATGATCTCCACAGATCACCCTTCCCCGGTTCTCTGTCCACTGTAGGTTTGCAATCTAATACTCGACCGTAGATCGGAGTTGGATGAATATGATCAGACGTAGTGGTGTAACATCGGTACGTAATCGTGACGCACGCTTCGACGAACATACATTCCTGATACGTATATCGTATATGAGATTGCTGGTGAAGCCGTCAGGCAATCGTCGTCAGCAGTAATTTTGATTGCGTCACATTGTTTTGTGGAATTTGGCACCCGGGTCCACAGTTCAGAATAAGAGGAACAAGCCTTGAAAGTATCATTCCAGATTTGGCATCGATCTGGCTTACCTTACCACAGATGTTCTCTAGAGCGAGGACGAACTTCTGTCGAGTAATAGAGTAAGAAGCACCAGAGAAAGAAAGGAATCCAACTGCTTCCATTCCCGCATATGTCTAGTGACTACGAGGACTCGGACCAAACCAAGAAGCACTCACTGGTACTCGACAAATATGATACGAGTCAATTCCAGCAGCGGCAGCAGCAGCAGCTGCTCTCTTCGTCTTCTGAAGAGCTGGTTTGGGTTGCATCAGATGATCAATGCGCAGGGGGTCGGTTTTTGACCGATTCATACATCGCGATGTTCGCAGCTGCCGCTGCTGCTAACTGCGTACTATGAGTCGCATGTACTAGTACTTCTCAGCAGCTTTCGCTTTAACTAAAGCGGCTCCCTGTTGACCTTGCAGCGAAAGCCCGGAGCCCGCTTGCTTTAAGGGGAGTGAGTATCTTTCCCTACAGTCGACGAGGCTCGGTGGCTACAGCATACTTCGACAAGTGGGAGGGACGAGTGGGACCGCCCCGATCGAACCGTTATAAAATAGTGCAATCTATGCCGAGCAGCGTATGGAGCCGAGGGCCGACGAAGCTAGTCGACGAGGCATAGTAGGGCGATTGCTGAGGAGCGAGGCGGGAGCCAGTGACGAGCGAGTACCTTGCTCTAGGCCACATCCAGTCCGACTACTTTTCTAAAAGCATGAAAGAACGAACTAACACGACTGAGCATACGAGTTTCTATTTTAAGGAGGTTCTGGAACATGTATCGCAGCAGGAGAGCGGGGACGAGAGGAGGGAGAGGCACGCGGGGCTGTCATGGAGATCGTTGAGTCAAAAGTACGAGCCAATGCCCCGGCAGTATAAATATCAGAGGTGTCGTATTTCCGGGGGGTCAGAGGATGGAATTAGGTGTCCGGTGGTCATTCGGTGCCCCGACTAAGGCTCACGATTCACTCTGAAAGTCGCCTATGGATTATGAGGCAACTCCCAGACGCCAGACGGACAGACGACTACCTGGACTCTGTGGGTTAGCAAACTCCTGGGAGGGAAGGAAACTTTGAGCCGACCTCTTGCCACCTGAAGGTCGGGTTCCTTTCTCGAGCCGCGGATGCGAATCACGCGACGGCCAGTATGTAACTGAAAGCTCGACGGTCGGTTTGTTTATCGGCCGGCGATTCTGCCCTGTCGTAGACTGTGCAGTGATCTCGCAGTCTGCGTTCGGTGGGGACGTTCCGGTCACATCGGAAAAGGCATGGCGTTTTGAGAGAGGGCCCGTTGGCAGACATAGGTCGTCGATTCTCCCACCTAACCGGATCACTAGATTTGGGGATAACGGGGATCACTGCCATCCGAAATATAGGGTGGCTGGATCACGGTCTGGAGACCTGTGTCAGAACACCTGAACATGGGGAATGCGCTATGCGCCGTTCAAAAAAACGTCGCAACGTGAAGTTCGACTCTAGTGCTCATGCTCCTGACCGTTGAGTTTGGTGCGAAAGCCGGTCATCATCTCACGGCGAAATGCTGAACAGTGGTATGAGTTGGTGGAGCTTGTAATGCGATGGGACGTCACGGCAGATGTGGCCATGACACTTATCTCAATCAAGAGACAAAGATTCTTCGTTCTATTTTTCCCCCAGCAGGTAAATGTAGGAGACAAAGATTCCATCTTTGGCCTACCGCAATCAATGTTTACCTGGACTTTACGCTGAAACTTCTAGATATTGCTGCAGGAAGTCATTACGTCCATGACATGGAGGATCCCATAATATAACGATTCAGCAACGTACAACACTAACGTACTCTTCGAAGCTTGTTCTCGAGGTTAACTGAATAAGTTATGGTGCGAACGATGTCGGAGCCTCTGAGGGCCTGATTAAGAGGAAACGAACGACGGTGAAGGAAAGCTGCAAAATTTAATTGCACAGTGTATTTCTATCCAAGAGTAATGGATGCGGTATATGGTGGGCATTGGGTATCGGCCATGGCCGAGGCAAAGCTACGCACGTGCATCGGGAAGAAGAGTTAGGAGCTCGTTGCAAATATTTGCAGTATCGTGCATGTTCAAGGTTGGTACTGTGGTTTCAATCATTGTGTTTTGAATTGTGTCATCCATTCATGCGCTCAGCCAAAAACTATATTTTCGACGTTACAGTAGAACGTCCTCCGAAACCACCTCTCTTCCTCAGTGCAGCTCAACGTTACTGTATACAAGATTTGTGGATCATACAGCCATTCCAGCAACTCCTCGCACGTCACTCTCGACTTTCGGCGATGACGACTCCAAATTACGTTGCAGCAGCTTTACGGAGATCTGCTCTGGGCTTTGACGGGTGACGCGTGGATTCGCCCCTTCAACCGTCTCCGCAGTCTAACTGAGAGGAACAAGGTTCCCGCACCCCTCGTCCATGGGGATATCCTCCACCAGGGCTCGTTACAATCTACCTGTCACTTCCGAAGGTATGCGACAATGGCAGGCAGTCGGCAGATTGGGTGCTAAAGTCGCATTTTCTTTACAGTGTAAACTGGGTATGTGAGTTGGCATTGAAATTATGTGGCAAATGGAGGGGGGCATAGCAGAAAACATGGGAAGACCTCATCAAACCCAAAATTGTAACTACTTTGCAGATGAGGATCCCATGTCCCATCTGATGCTGCTCATTTCTTCCCTTTTCATTTTATTTTCCAAAGTAGGTCCGCCTTGTCTTGCTTCAGCATAGCATGCCATGTTTTAATATGCTCCTCACCCAGAGGAATCGCAATTTTCATTAGATTACAGTAAGAATCATTTTCTTAGCTGTAAGGATTTGATGTTTCAAATTAAAGTGTGTCAATGCCAAAATTTAGAACCGTTCTCATAATCTACTCTGCCGAAGACAATTTTTACAGGTTCTTCTTCATGAAGGTGCCTTCACTTTGGCCCCGCTCCAAAGTTGACAATCTTCTTATTGTTCTATAAGTGCATTCTCCAATCTTTGCAATCTGTTGCCTCTTTTTCTCTAATCATTTTCATTCTATTATTCACAATGGCCCTAGAAGCTATATCAGGCCATTTTCATAACAATGAGATTTTATTACACGGAACCTAAATGGTAAAAATAAAAATGGTCGGTCTCAGATCTACTTGTGTATATTATGAGATAAGTATTATGATTATCATTTATTGAAAAGAGATGTATAACACACGAGTTAGGATTTGGAGCGATGAGAAGAATTTGTTTTACATGTCTTGAAGTAATCATCTTACACCAGGAAATGGTTTCCACGAATTGTATGCAAACAGACTGCAATTGGGACGATTCGTAATTTGTTTTCTCTATTTGTAGTCTTCATGATTCTTTAGCCGAATTGTATGCAAACAGACTGCAATTGGGACGATTCGTAATTTGTTTTCTCTATTTGTAGTCTTCATGATTCTTTAGCCGAGAGCGGATCGGCCAATAAAAATAAAACACATCTAGGCCTAAAGAGAAACTTTAGATCTGTACGTGCCGCGCTTCCGTCTAATAAGGTCTCCATATTCCCAACAGGAAGTAGCTGTTTTGCTGTTGCCTCAGAGGCACCAGATTGATTTCAACAATGGGCCCCACGTCTTTCTCCGGGGTCCGCGCGGCGAAAGCTGCTTTGTCTCGAGCCAGCCCGCCCGCCCTCCCTCCCTCCCTCCCTCCCTCCCTCCGGATTTCGCGATGCAAACGAAAGCCCACTTCTCCATGAGGAACGCTTATATGAGAAGGGGCCAAGTAACGCTTATATTAGGCGTCGTGCTCAAGCTCCCAGCATTCCACTGACGGCCGATGCAATGAAGTCTTTGGCAAGGGTAGGCCGCTCCATATTCCTTCCGATGGAGGTCGGGCGGCCTCGCCTGCTGGCCTGTGCTCGCTGCCAGCATGGACGGACAACAGTCGCACGAGTGCAGAAGCAAGGACCGATGGTATGCGATAATGGCAGGCAGTCGGCAGATCGGGTGCGAGAGTCACCACCACTCGGCTCGGGCACATGGTTTGCATTACGTCTCCATCTCAATTTCGTTCAGGCCTGCACTCACTGTCCTTTTCTCTGCAATCCTATGCTTTGCCAGTGCTCCTGTACTTCGAGTCTTGTCAAAATGGTGGACATGATTAAGGGGATGTTCGGTTCAAGACTTCGCGTACTATATATACAAATCATGATCAGTCGATCAAACCTCTGTCTGTCATTCAGGCCACGTTACATGCATCCATGTGCAGCATATATTACTGTAAAAACTCGACAAGGAGGTTGGAGAAATTCTAACATCTCCATAAAAGAAGCATCTGGGCGGTCACTGTGCTGCTTTTAATCTGGGTTCCATTTTCAAAACGGTTCGAACAGGTACGTAAGTAAGTGGAAGTCTTGCACTCTCTTTAACGGAAACAGTCGGTTGCTGTAAGTTCTCGAAAGAAACATCAGATTCCATTACGATCAGCTCTCCACTTGAGGGAAATGTCGCTCAAACTACAGCAGGCACGTACCGTACTTGAATCGACATTGCATGTGAAGTAATGAGGCTTGCGTATGCATTCTGCTATATGTAGGAGTTACAGCATACGAGGACAAGCCCTTTGTTTCACATGTTTGTACAGGCTAAATTAAATCTCGACGCCGATAATGCGATCTAAGTTAGGGATGGACAAAATTGTATTATAAGATCCGATCGAATTTCCAGGGATCACGGGACAGCAGTGAACAGAAGACTTAGATCAAGTTGAGCTGTAAGTCACTCACTGACTCGAGAAAGTCTAACGGCTTACACGAAGATGTGATGCAAGTCCTATTGAGAAATCCGGTTTCCCCAAAAGTTTCCGAAGGACACAAAAGATACGAACGAATGTCACCTACTCTCAATTCTTGTAAGGGTATGAAAGCAACAAAGTTTACTCAAATGTTTACTTAGAAGATGCTACGTAATGTAACTTATGAGCATTCTGCTGTATAATATGACTGCTTGTTTTACGTTATAAACAGGCTTACTGCAACAGTGGTCATGCTTCAGTGTTCAATCAGTATCAAACGATCATGTTGAAGTTTTCCACGCAGATGTACATTATATATATACAAATTATCTTGTTGTCAGCAGGTATGTTCTAAAGTTTTACGTGTCGGTTTTTAGACGCTTGACATCGTGCGCGGCAATCATGCTTAAAGCAGATTTGATGATCAACTTCACAACTCTCAAACTTAGTAAATTCAGAGTCCATTCTAGCTTTTCTCCTTTCATTTTATCAACGATGTCACATGTGAGAAATTGATTCTAAAGATCTGTTGGCTTCCAGGCCAAAGTGCATGCTTATAGTCACTCCCCCATCTTATGCTTTCAACATGTACACTGTCACTACGACACAAAACTACAGCATTAGATATTTACGTTTGGCTTATTCATTGATGGCTGATCACTACGAGCAAAAGGTTGTCAGATTTTGATGGTGTACAATTATCGATCCGATTGCGTGGCAATCCGATCCTGCATCCAGTATTCAAACCGGCCCTCACTTTGTCACTGTCCACTGTTTTCGAAATTATAGAGTAAATACTTGAATCAAAGGCCCCTCGAAATCAAGAATTATAACAAGCAAATCCATGACTTACAATGTCTTTGATAATTTGGACTTGAGTTCACTCATAAATCCTTCGCAGTGTACAGAAACTGCAGCTGGGTGAGATCTCATAAACTATACTCTACAACTACTCTTCAGAATCAATATTTACAGCGCAGATTCCCATCAACGACATTTTATCAAATTTCATGAGATGATCGTAACTTCCATGCACTGGATCTCCAATTGAAGTCGTTACTGAATACTCATCGTCTCTCGCAAACAAGACGGTTCCTCTTCATTTGGGTTTGCTCTGTCTTCTCTAACCACGTGTAGCTCGAACTCGTTGGAGATTAGAGCACGGTGGTACCTCATTCGTTCTTGAATTTGAATCTTGCTAGCAGCATCCCGTTTCTGGACTCAACCATATTTCTTTGAGAACACTGGACTGGAGCGGAAATTTAGAGGTGACCCTCATAGTACGTTCAACTGTCGTGTATATTATTCTTATGGTCTTTAGTTTCTTTTGGGTTATGAGTTACAGCTGTAATATGTACTGCTTATGACGATCAAACATCAGAAGCTAACGCCTTCAGCTATAACAAATCACTCTTGTAGCCAGTGGCTATTATAAGTCTCGAAGAGTGTGGAGTAGGCACCCAATGACATGTAGGATTTAATCTGCTTAACATATTACAGTTCTTAATTATCGGCAGATCCTACCTTTGGTTTGACAATGATATGGATACTCTCAGTACGTATCGAAAAATCTAACCATTGAAGCTGCAAATAAAGGTGGTGGATGAAGTTGATATGTCATGTAGCTGGCAATTTCGATAACCATTCAGATACAACTATGGACTGCGAGAGATTAGATTCACCTCCAACTGTTTTATTACAAACATGAGCACTGGACATCCTTGACACCGCGTCAGTGATGGTCCACTGCCACTGATCGAAGCACTTCCTCGACGATACAGTAGAGTGGAGATTTATTGCACTGAAGCAATGACAAAAGTTTCAGCAGAAAATTTTCTCGAGTGAATCTGCAAAGAATTCAATCGCTATGTGGACTGTCGTTCACAACTGCAGTCTTTGCACAAGAGTGCGAAGATGTAACCCGGAGTCCTGCAACAACTCGTACAATCAAATATAATCCACCGGAACAGTATGTCGATGAATCGATCGGTTTAAACACAGATTCAGTCGGAAGAACAAAGTAAGAACGAGTAAGTGCCTCTATCGTGTAATATTGCCTTGAACACTCAGTTACATTTGGAAGAGACAACCCACGAATCTTCTGGACAAATTTGCATCAAATTTGCAGAACGAACTGTTTTCAACATTACAGCAATTTAATGTCAACTGCATTGAGCTTCAAATGCGTAGTTTAGCTAGACAAGCTTCGGTTCTAGAAGACATTTCACTGTCATGCGATTTTCATCAACTTGAACTGGAAGTACAGGGATCTAGACTTCTCGTAATGTGAGGAGTTCAGATCCCCGCACATCCAGTTCGGGTGGATAACGCAAATGTCTTAAAAAGTGCAAATTCGTGAGATCAGATCCCGGGGTTGTCACGTGGATTGGCACTGCGATTTTACATACGGATAACAAATTGGCACATTTCCTCTGTTTCTGCGTTGTAGACGATTGTACCACAATTCCTACAGTACATGGCCTACCACGACAACTAGCTATCCTCGACTAGGAATCTAGCTAAAATGAACAAGTACAGGTGTGTTTACCCTCCCTCATGATTGGCGTGCTCAAGCCTCGTCATGGAAATCAGACGACCAATACCATACTTGCGATCCAATGTTGTAAAAGAAACGCTGTGGAAGGACAATCGAACGTATTCGGCACAGCACGGTACAGGCCTAGGTGTGTTTACCCTGAAACAATGATTGGTGTAAAGCTTCGTCACACAGATCTGCGATGGGGACGTTAAATGGAATGTTGTCGAAGGACGATCTAGACAACGTAGCTACGTGATGAATCTCCGTGCACGTGAAGTGGATTACAACATGGCAAGTGGGAACAGGTACAGTGAGTGAGCGAGTCATGTTAGAGCTATGAAGCTTGAAGAATGAAAGTCTTTGGATGCACACAGCTTGGCACGGCACCCATACACCAACTCTCACGAAAGGTTCATCCCCATGCGAGATCTCGCTCGACGCAAGCTGTAACTAGTTACAGCAGCAGCAGTCGGGTGCGCAGATGGTCGAGAGTATGGATCTGGAGGTTGTACCAAACTGCGGCATCCGAAGACCTTCTTACTGAATCGGATCATGACTGGACGAGACGGAGAGGACGTTGCAGGATGTAACCAATGAATATGCATTGATCCGACACGTGAAGCTCAATATCTCTCAGCGTTCAGTTTGAATGCAGAGGAAGAAGGCAGCTATGGATAGATCGATTGATCCACTGCATTTGGACATGTCGAGTGTGTGAGTTCTTAGCTGGTCTGGTCCTGGAACCGGGGAGCGACTCCTGAAGACTTGATCGATACCCTGTAATCGCTGTGATGAGACCTGCTATTTATACACATGATGCGCGAGTAGATTTTGTAAAATTTGGCGGTGAGGAGAGAGCCTACAGAAATCCCAAGATCCCACATGGGTAGGGCCTCAGCAATCAGAGAATTCGAATCAGCTTAGGGCCCTCTTGTCTACAGTCGACGCCTGGATGAGTACCTCACCTCTGACCATAACTGACAAATCTCTCTGGATATTTGTTTTAGGTCAAGTTGTTGTAAGGACTCTAGTAATAAGGAAGTGTATTGTCCGTCCTTCCTTCCCCTCCCTTCCCTTCCCTTCCTTTCTCCTCTCTTCTCTTCTCTTCTCTTGTCTTCTCTTCTCTTCTCTTCTTGGTGTTAGTCAGTACGTAGTCAAAAAACAATAGGGCCCCGTCTACCGTCTCCTCTCCCTCCCCGTGAATATTAGCTGCAGCAGTCTTGAGAGCTACTCGACCACTACAAGTGTCGTGGTACAATTCGGCTCAACTGATGAATGTTTTTATCTCTACTTTTAATAGATCCTTCCTACATTACTTGACATGGAAGAATTTTATGTGTCTGGAGCTCAGGCCCTACAGGTTCTCACTCTACGCTCTCCGCCCGGAAAGTACTTCCTGTGCATCCAGCCCATGTCAAATCCAGTTACCCGGTTGCTTAGGACACGGTTCGGTCATTGACCACGTATTTCATGATCTCGTTTCTGCCTCATTTCACCTTCATCTTTAAAACGTGTTGATCAGATATCAATGCTTGCTAGCTTTTCAATTTCTAAATATTTTACCATGTTCTCTACATAACGCGATATTTTGGACCGAAGGTACAAAGTATCACAGATGCAATCATATTCGACTGCATTTGCTGCTCTTCAGCTCTAGACTCTCTGGCTGAGGTTGAGATTCATGAGCAAGCATTAAAGGTCTTTTAAAAAACCTATCTTATGGCTACCGAAGGAATACGGACGAATCCAGGTCCGTTTATCATTAAAATAGTTTCACAAAGCACATGTGAACATGTGAACTCAATCGGCTAAGCGCGAACTAACGTCATACATGTAAACGATGTCGATGGAAACACTCCTGTTCCACTGATAGTAGTTTAGGATGATTGTTGGAAGACAAAAGGAAATTCTAGGAATAATTGTATGTTCGCGTGGTTGATTTTTTAAGTAGCTGGTCTTCTTCTCGGCTACATCTGCCATATGTTTGCTTCCTGATGATGACTGTTGTTATGAATCGACAGTGGATTTGTAGTGCATTCATTATGAGCACACTTCGATGAATGGATATGGAAGATCTCTATTCACTTTCAGAAGCTTCAGCTGCGCTCGGGGTACTTGGACACTTGGGTGTTCCCTCTTGATAGGAAAGTTGAAGTGAAGTGAATTCGTAGCGATGTTTCTGTCGTTTTCTCTGATCAATAATATCTTTATGAATTCCCAAAATTATGCTTTATACCTATTGTTTGCAACAAGTGGATTTGCATCTACATCTCAAAGATTAGAGAAGAGCATCCACCTCATACCCCCGCCTACTCTTCCAAAAGCAGAGAAGAAACAGAGCCACATTGCGGTTGAAAATATCGAGACTACTCAACATCCATGTAAAGAATGGCGTGCAGCTTTTTAATATGACGGTGCTCAACATATTTGCTCATTAAGTCAACCTGTTGTGAGTGTCAAACTTTTTTTCGTGGCCTTGCTGTTATTCGGTTTCAGCGGTGAGGCAGAACTCCACTTCCTCAAGTAACCTACGAAGAAATATCACCTCCTTGCGGTAAGATCGACCTTGTTCGGTCGATCTCACATCCGACAGCCTGGTCACACTACAAGCAAATCTAGTCTCGAAGTTTGACTGTGTCAGCAGGGATGACACATTCTAAATTTTATTGCATCAAAGCTGTCTGTTCGTGATAGTACTTTAAAATGGTATACGGACTTTTGCAAACATGAAAGTTGTCATGAATATGCCAAATTGACGACATGGACGCTTTTGCCACAAGCAGCAACGCCATGCCCACTTCGTCACCTCATATGCAGAATAAGTTTAACGCTTTATGTTCATGACATTCCTATTCCTTTTACAATGTCCATCTTACGTAGGAACACATAGAAAGGATAATTCCACAAGTAGTTCAAAATATAAGATCTTGTGTGGATTTGGAATGTTGGCAACTTGACTTAATGTAAAACTCCCTTTAGATTATTGTGAACGCTTATCTGAGTCAACATGTTTCCATTAATCTATATATAGACTTAGTTTATTTATTATTATAAATTTTATTATTTTTTTGTTATCAATCCATTTTATCTTGGATATATTACATGTTTTATAACATTTATTCATATTTGTAATTTAGACACTAATACCATGTTAACCGTTTGGTTTCATCCTCTTATACTTGATGGGAACTTTACGTCATTATTTTTGTGTCCGTTGTGAGTGCTCCACTTTTCTAGCCACACGATCTTGACCTTTGTATTGTGAATAAACTAGTATATTTTATGTGTTTAAGTTATTTAATGTGCGTCTTACTAACATTGGCATTTTTTCTTCCGAATGATTCCAATGTCAAAACGTAATTGGTTGACTAAACTTAGGTTAAGATTTAATGATTCTTTTGTCTAATGGTATGTCACAAATATTGTATTCTCGTTTCATAACTATTTTTTGAATCAACTTCCTCCAACCAGCAACGTGCATGAAATGTGTATTTGTATGTTTGTATTGGCTCATCTTCACATAGAGCTGTAAAGTACTTATCGTGTATATTACATCGAGTTGTAAACTACCTTACCCGCAATTTGTCATCATTTGCAACTTAAGAGCAAAATTGTACATGACATCTGCTTTCTCAACAGTCCTCTATTTCAGATTGTGATAGTTTGCCATCCTTTTAGACTTGATGACATCCTATTCCGAAAAGTGATACATTGTAAAGAGTAACTTTTACTCTTCTTAAATATAAACGACGTACATCTTAAAATTGATCGGGATAGATATGTTCAATGAAGAATCTTTTTCTGTCATATCGCATATTTCAATATATATCAAATCAATACAAACACAATTAAATCATGTTCAAGTAAAAAATCAATCTGTCCAATCTAAATAGTTGTAAATGAAATTGGAAAAACCTTACTCAAATAGGAAATGTAATCACATAGATATTATGATTCTATACATTAAACAGATTGATCGGAAATTACAGTTGAAAAAATATAACTCTTTGTCACCTATATATTTATTTATTTAAAAGGATATTAAACTATATATATATATATATATATATATATATATATATCATGCTTGATTCACGTATTAGATTTTCATCATTACATTGATTTGTTTCAACATGTTTTTTCATCCAAATAGAAAAATTGTAATTCAAATAAACGAGCAAAGATTCAATTGTCTGACAATCAGAATACAAAATTTTGAAGATATTTGACAATATGTTCAAGTCTTTTTTGAGTTAAAAAATTTGTTGATAATTATAAGATATATATTTCCAACGAATTTTCCAGTTCCTTTATAAAAATTATTGTAAACATCAACATCCAGAAATAAAACTTCAGATATATGATGATTAGAAAAATTCTTGATCGATTTCTTTAAAAAAATGTGGTTAACAGATATCATTCTTGTATCTAAATTCTTAAATCTATTATTAAAATCTTATTTGGCAACAGAAATTAAAAAATTAAATATACAAAATTATAGCATTTGAGGAATTTTCATTTCTTCATTCTTTTAAATATAATAAAAGATAATTAAATAAAAATCTATGATTTCTATTTGGAGACAATATATTGCATCAAATATTACACCTTTATGTTGAGTTGACATTAAATATACATATTGATATTAGAAATATATGAAATTGAACCTAAATCAAGATGTCATTGGCTAGAACATCACCAAGGTCTAAGCATGCCGATAGTACAAATCCTTGTTGTACCATTCAGTTTATCAGTTTATCCTGCAACAACTGATTGATTTCTACTTAAAATTTCATTTTATTTTATTTTCCAAATTTTCTATAAAGTGGAGAATATATTCCTTAGAAAAAGAGTTTGAGGTCTGAAAGAGGTTTCAGGTCTTATTTTCATTGCTTTTAGTCCATGTAAGTTACTGCAATTTGCAAAAACTTCACAATGAAATGATTTTGAACATTGAATAATACATAGTATCGGGTGTTATGACTAAATTTACAGCTTTATCTAGTTGCAAAAACCATTGGTATTAGGAAAAAATGAAACTGAGGACCACACTCGAGATATATAGCTCTAAAATATAATTCTACGATATAACTCTACACTTAAAAGTACACAATTAATTCGTTTTAGCTCAACCCATGGAACCATACATGTCGGGTAACAAATTTATAACTAAAATATACGAATAGAGGAAACTAGATCCCAATAGGATCCCAGTAGGAGAAATAACAAACTTTACTATATATATACAAGTAAGACTTCATACATCGTGCCATGTCTAACGCTAGCCTTGCCCCATGCCAAGGAAGCAGCTAAGGCAGATCCTCGAAACTCACACAGTGTAGACACAAATTTGTTGGAATTTGGAAGATCGCCCATTTGCCACCATAACCAACACGAAATATCACTTCACCCGTCCAAAGAAGCAAATTACCGTACACTGTGTACACGAAGGAAAATTCCTCTAGAATATATTCATACTCTTATTCGGAAGAGTCCTTTGCTTGAGGAGTTTCAGAAAGAGAGTACCAGACATGATT